GTTGACCTAAGAAAGAATGACTGGCTCAAAATCACCCAGCTGGCTTCCATGACTACAGGATGAGCAGAATTCTTGGTCTCCCAGTTTTTAGTTCAGCATCTGAGCCACTACATGAAAGGAGCTCTCGGTTGTTTGAATGTCTTAATAAATGTTTATTTATTAAATACACTTAAATTAATAAATACATAAAGAAGATGTTTTGTTTGGAATACTTACTTATTCCCACAAAACAGTGAGCAAGAGTTAAAATAACAGACTTATGGAATTCTCTTGTAGCAATAAGATGGACAGAATCATCCTGTAGGTTTTCTGCTGGTTAGTCCTTTTATAATGATGTGAAAACTGAATACCCCATTCAGATGTATAATAACATACTACAGTACAATCCATCTCTTATGTATTATACTCGGCTAAGCATTACAGTGAGTGTTGGATGTGTGTGTGTGTTTGTGTATCTAACAAATTTTATTCAGTTTTTTACATTAAAAACAAAAATCTCTTTTTAGTGGACAACATATTTCTGGGTCATCACCTTTACAAACAAATATGACAGCAATTATACATTCATATATGCATACTTAATTCTATTATTACGTTTTCCATTCCAAATTTTCAGTAAGGAGAGAAACAAACACATTAATTCTAGTGTCTTTCATTAATCTCAATCGAAACATCTTTTTGTTTCATTTCAATTATTTCAAATATAATCCTTTAATATTTATTTTAAAAATAAAGATAAACAATATGTATTTGCCTAATAATAATAATAAGTTACCAATGTCTCTCCTTGCTTTTAATAGTCTATATTAACTTATTAATTTAGTTGATTCTTTAGTCTGTCATATTCCCTTTCCATTACACATTTTTTATAAATTCTAGATTAATACAAATTTTAACACACACAAAAAAAAACCAAGTATAGGTTTCCCCCCTTTTACTGTTTTGAGTGTGACACCTCAATGATTAAAATATACCTTTATTCCCTCATCTTGATTCCCAATAAACCATTATTTTTAAGAAGTTACAATACTTATTACTTATTAATACTTACAATCTTTTCATTTGGTTTCCGTAGCATATTTTGCCCCCTTGATTTTTAATGAGTTATCAGTATCTATTTTACCCTATTTTCTAAATATTTTTAATTGCAGAAATATTTTTATTACCCCTTGTATTCTCCCTTGCAGAATCCCCTTTTTAATTCATCAACCATTATCTCTGAAAAAACAATTTTTTAACATTTTACTATTTCTGTATTTCTTTATTTCATGCACCTGTTTCTTACTGCTTCTCCTCCCCCTCTTTTCCCCATAACTTTTCTCATTCCAGTTTATATCCCTCTCTTTCTTAATATCTTCCTTTCTCTTTCTGCCTTTCCTGACTTCACAGGTATTCCCCCTTTTGATTGCCTTCTTAAATCTCAACTTTTTAACCTTCCTTCTTTCCCCACTTCTTTGTAGTGTTCTTTGTGTTAATTGTCTATTTAAAATGTCTTCTCCTTGAATCGACGACTCCTCCTCTGAAGCTTTCTTCTTGTTCTTCAATCGCCATTTCCATTTCTTCTAACACAGAGCAAAGTGATTCACCTCTTTCCTGTAGTAATTCTCTCATATTTTTAAGTTCCATTTTTTATTCCCAAAGAGATATCATCATTACACACTCTTATATTTTATAATCGTTAAAGTCCACAAAAAAAACCACTTTTATTTTCCTTCTTTCTTCTTTCAATTTTCTAAAGTTCTCAGTTATTCCAGCCGAGGGTCTAAACCAAAAACATCAATCAATCCCACAGTCAGTCTTTCCTTGCTTTTTTCTTTATTCTGGTTCTGCTTTCACTTTCTAAGATTCTTACTTTGTTTCAATATTTCTTTAATGTTATATCCACACAAGTTCATTCAGAAACAGGATGCTTTCCCTTTTGTTTGAGCTCAAGTTTTTGTCAAAAGGTGACACTCTCCATTATACAAAGTCTTCACCTTTCCCCCCAATATTTTTATTTAGGGTTTTTCGAACCCCAATAGTCCAGCATAGTCCAGTCTCCAATTTGTAAACTTTATTATTATTATTTTTTGACAATCTTAAGTCCAGCTTTATTTTATGCCTGTTTATTGCCAAAATATTTTAGTCCAATTTAGTTAAATCTTTAGTTCCAGCTTCTTCCTTTCCCGGTTTGAAGCCCCGCTTAGCTGTCAAACTATTTTCTTTTTTTCCCCGTCCCATTGTAATTTCGCCGCTCACTTTTCTTTTCTTAAAAATTCCATGTTACCTTAATCTCGGGGTACTTTTGTTTAGTTGTATTGCCCAGTTGTCCTGGTTCAGATGTTATCCACCTCTTTCTTCCCTCCTGCACAAATCTTAATCCAGCTGAGTCCTCCACTTTGGGGCGGCCATTTTAAACCACTGCTGCAGTTGTCTTCGGGGGGGGGGAAAGACCAAGCCCAGGGGAGGAGATGCGGCTCCCCTCAACCTGGCTTGCGGCTTCCCCTTACTCCACCACCCCTCCAAGGCAGCTTCAGCCCCTAATCGTAATAATCGGGGCTCTCCAACGAAAGAGCACGGACCATAGCCACAGAGAGTCGCGATCTACGGTCCGTCAGCGAGGAGGCTCTGCCTTCTTCCCTCTGTGTTGGATGTATATTTTGTGTATATTTGTAGATATTGTACTCTTAAATTGCAAATGGAGATGTGGGTACTCTATCTTTCTTATCTTCATTTTTAAGTGCTTTGGTTTTATTGCATTGCGAACAGTTGCTGGGGTGCATCCACAGTTTTGTTGTACTTGTACAATGACAATAAAGTTTTTCTAATCTAATCTTATAGCTTTTAGTGCAATACCACAAACTTTTCTTAGTTTAGATCTGAAAACTGTTAAGTAGCACTAAATAATTTAATATGTCAATAAACCTCACAAGATTTATTTGTTATGCAAGTAACATAAAATGTTTAGTGAAATGTTCAGGGACGAAATTCTGTGTTTTAATTGTCACTGCAGAGTGATCTTTCTCCATGATAATCACCTAAGATAATTAGGTATAGAGAGCCAGAACAGTTTCTGTAGATTTATTAATTTACCTGCTATATTTGCTAACAGCTCAATCTTATACTCTGCACAATATACAATTGTAAAAACAGTTTTAAAACTGTTGTAAAAACAGAATATTATAATACGGTAATATTCCATTAAACATTAAACAAAAATATACATGTGTGAAGGAAGACCCATGTGCTAATTATCTGGAGCAGAAAGTGTTCACAACCTGCTTAAATGCAAGAAGGTAACTTTGGTTATTTTTTGACATTTGAACTATGCCTGGAAATAATCTAGTTATTAGTGCATCAGTGGGTTAGCCATGCAAAGCAGAACCCTTCAAAGGACACACTCCACCCTATGAATCAGGTTACCCTATCTAAGGACAACCCTAAAGTGTTAGGGTTTTAATGATTAATGGCACAGGGTGAGGATATATTCATTCTTAAACTAGACAGCCCATGATCTTATCAGACTTTTCAGAATAATCAAGGGCTTCATTCAATTTGTGTCCTATTCTGTAATAACCAATATAATATTACTTAATTTTAATATCGTATAACCTTCATCTTCTTTATTTTAAGAAGTGGAGACTGAACTTAGAATGGCTACCTGTTTAAGAAAGACAGAGATCGCATTACGGTAGGTGGCTTTCCAAATTTTGTGCTGGATGACTCCAACAGTTGACTCTTTCTCATGTTAGTTGGAGTTGGAATTCAAAATCTGGAAAATGAGAATCAGAGGTGGCATTCAGCAGGTTCTGACCAGTTCTGGAGAACCAGTAGCGGAAATTTTGAGTAGTTCGGAGAACTGGCAAATACCACCTCTGACTGGAGATTTTACAGTATCCTTCCTCTGCCACGCACACCAAGCCACACCCACAGAACTGGCAGTAAAAATTTTTTGAATCCCACTACTGATTAGAATGCTTATCCGATTCAGAATACCACCATAAAAGATAAACACTTGATGCTATTCCCACGTATAGACAAGGAGAAAAATGGCTCTTGTTGATTTTATGCCTGTCATGCAATTGCTGAAAACTGAGACTGCCCTTATAAAAGCATAACTTGTGGATATCCCTCCATTCCTAGCCAGTTCTGGTCATGCTGGCTGGGAATCCAGGGAATCGAAAGCCCATACATTGTGGGAGCACCAGGTTGGCAAAGACCTCCTGGCTCATATATTAAGATTGACAGGATGTCAGTTTGGCACATTTAAAGAAACAGATCGATCATTCAATATATCTATATATAACATAGGGACCTTAGAGCTCTTCTAGGCCAATCCCTTTCTCAAGGCAGAAGACTTATACCATTCTAGTCAAATGGTTGCCCATTTCTCAGATCTAATCGGATCTAGTTTAGCCAGATCTAGTTTAGTAACCTGTCTCATCCAGTTTAACAAAGTCAGATCTAATTAAGCACCTGGTCGGATCTAGTTTAGCAACCATTTGGATCTAGTTTAATTGGATCCAGTTTACAATCTAGTCGGATCTAGTTTAGCTGGATCTAGTTTACCAACCAGTTGGATCTGGTTTAGCAAAGTCGGGTCTGGTTTAACATCTAGTTGGATCTAGTTTAGCCGGATCTAGTTTAGCATCTAGTCCAGAAGTCTCCAAACTTGGCAACTTTAAGACTTGTGGACTTCAACTCCCAGAATTCTCCAGCCAGCATAGCTTCTAGATTCTAGACTAGATTGTCCAGCATATCTGGCTGGAGAATTCTGGGAGTTGAAGTCCACAAGTCTTAAAGTTGCCGAGTTTGGACACCCCTGATCTAGTCGGATCTACTTTAGTCGGATCTAGTTTAGCATCCTGGAAACCTACAGGAGTTTAGGGGAAAAACCGTGTTTCCATCTAATGACCCGATTAGCCGCGGAGGTATCTTCTGAATTTCCTCCCGCCACCAGCCGCCTCATCCCAGTACCTGCGGCTTGGTCGCCGTCTCCCTCCCAGTCCCCGCCCCTCCCCTCTTGGAAGTACGGCGAGAGGCGAGGGACAAGCCTTCCGCGTTTAAGACCAGGGACGCCAGCTGCGCTTGACAACTACCGGTATTTCTACCGGGGACGCGAAGGCCGTCGTCCCAGGCGCCCGGACTCCGCCTCTCGAAATGCTACGGTGGCTAATAGGAGCGGGCCGCGAGCCGCAAGGGTTGGCCGAGGTAAAAGCCCGCGATGGGTCGTGAGGGGCGTTGATAAGTAGAAGTGCGGCGCGGCAACGGACTCCTTCGTTTTCCTGTCCTGACAAAGGGAGGATCTGGCGCATTTTGTTTATATCATTTATGCCTGGTGGACGCAGCGCTGCACCTGCGTTGAGGAAATCAGAGCGAGGTCGGGGGCTCCCCCACACCCCCGATGCGTAGGCCAGTTACGCAGCCTTGAGCTATGGCAAGTGGTAGTTTTCTCCAAGCCCCCCAAAGAGTTCCCACATTGCTGGGAATTAGGGAAGCTGTGCTTTTCTATTTTAAGAGACCTCCACGTTGCGAAAGACCGACACCCCCCCACCCCCACCCCCTGGTAACTACAGAAGAACCATTATCCCTGTAGTTGGTTTGCTCAAAGTAGGAGAATCGCCTCTTATTTTGTTCAGACCGAGTTCCTGCTCCTTCTCTGTGTTTGTCTTCGTGAATATGAAACTGAATGGCGCAACTATGCTCTTCTTCCTCTTTTAAAAGAAAGGACTAAATAAAGAAAACAGAGGCAAAAGACTGAGGAAACATGGAGACAAATGGTTAAAAGTGAGAGAGAACTCTTGAGAAAAGAAACGTGGACTTAAAATGGGAAATGGATGAGATTCAGCTTCATAGAATATATTCATGCACCCCTTTTTCAATGGAAACGACATGAGTTTAACAGGCACCCAGAAGACTTCAGGACTTGGTTGACTAGTTTTCCTGCCACTCAGATTACAATAGAGCAGGGGTCTTCAAAATTGACAGCTTTAAGACTTGTGGACTTCAACTCCCAGAATTCCTCCTCCAAGTCATGTTAGCTCAGGAATTCTGGGAGTTGAAGTCCACGAATCTTAAACTTGCCAAGCTTGAAGACCATTGCAATAGAGGAAGAAATTGCCAAATGTTTTGTTGCCAAATGTTTTGTCAACCCTGGCTCTAAAATTGTTGAGTACCTAAACAATGTAGCAGTGATTGGCTACAGTCTGCAAGATCTAGAAGTACATAAAATGACCTTAGAACATATACAGTAAAATGGTATTGCCTCCCTCTCAATAAGAATAGAAGAGTCATACAAAATCCATTGTTGACAGAAATAGTAGAAACCTTTAAATGATTCGTTTGAGACTGAACCAGCAGTCTCTCTCTCCCAGGTTAAGTGTAATTCCCCCTTTTGTTACAGACAAAAATGTATATGCGGCTGTTAACCAGATCAGTAGGTAGAAGGCGAGTGAGGAAGAAGTGGGTGGGAAGTCCTATACAGTTTTCCTACTTCATTATGCCTACTTCCTTTGCCATTTGCCTATTGGCTGTGCTATTTTTGGACATAGAGGTAATCCTTGACATACGACTGGTCATTTAACAACCATGACCATTCAAAATTACAGTGGGCTCAGAAAGAGTGCTCTCTAGTCAGAATCATCACTTTCAGCTACTTTCACTATTCAAACACCAAGTTATCAATTAAAGGAAAATTGATAAAATATGTATTTAAATTTATTAGCTGCCTACCTCGAATCAACTCTGCGTGTCATACAAAGCTTGCAAAAAAAGAGAGAAAAACCAAAACTATAAAATCATAGAGACAGCTCAGACTGATATAATCTGATAAACAAATAAAGACAAGAAGTGTCTCAGATACCAGTCCCTACGCCATAGATGTTTTAAAATATTGTATAGATTTATTTATTTATTTGATTTGTCAATCGCTTACAAGATAATAGGTATAAGGATAAACATAGTTATAAATACAAGAAATGATTACATATAAGAAAAATAAATGAAACAACAGGATAGGGACGGTAGGCACGTTGGCTCCCTACAGACCTCTTAGGAAAGGGGTGAGGTCAACAGTAGAAAGTCTAAGGTTAAAGTTTTGGGGATTTGGGGAAGAAACCACAGAGTCAGGTAGAGTATTCCAGACATTGACCACTCTGTTGCTGAAGTCTTATTTCCTGCAATCAAGTTTGGTGCAGTTAACCTTGAGTTTGTATCTGTTGTTTGCTTTTGTATTGTTATGGTTGAAGCTGAAGTATTGCAATGTATGGTTTTATATACTATACTTAGATCGGACCGAAGATGGCATAGTTCTAGGTTTTCTAGGCCTAAAATTTCGAGTTTGGTGGCATAAGGTATTCTGCAACGAGTAGAGGAGTATAGAACCCTTGTGTAATATTTCTGGACTTTCTCAACTGTGTTAATATCAGATACGTAATATGGGTTCCAGACTGATGAGCTGTATTCAAGTATTGATCTGGCAAATGTTTTGTATGCCCTAGTTAGTATTGTGATATTACCAGAGAAAAAGCTATGGAGGATTAGGTTAACAACTCTTAATGCCTTTTCGGCTATGTAGTTACAGTGGGCTCTAGCACTTTGGTCATTAGAGATAAGTCCTTGACAGAGTTTGGATCATCAACAAGGTCTTGACTATTCAGGTTGTATTTTATTTTCTGATTTGTTTTGCCAATATGTAAGACAGAGCATTTATTTGTTGAGATTTGAAGTTGCCATTTGTTTGACCATTCTGATACATAGTTGAGGTCTTTTTGAAGGGTAGCAGTATTGTCAGTGGTTTTGAATAGCTTTACATCATCAGCGAAGAGAACACAGTTGCTCTTAATATGATCGCAGAGGTCATTTATGTAGAGTATGAACAGAGTTGGTCCTAGAACATTGCCTTGGGGGACTCCACTATTGACAGGTACAGAATTTAATAAGATGCTCCCAATTTTGACTATTTGTTGTCTGTTTGACAGGAATGCTTCTATCCAGTTATGCAGTTGTCCAGAGATATCATAAGATTTTAGTTTTAGGAGTAGTTTGTCATGTACCACTGAATCGAAGGCTTTACAGAAGTCTATGTAGATTGCATCTATTGCTTTGCCCTGATTGAGTTGTGCAGTCCATATGTTTTTACAATGTAAGAGCTGCAGATTACAGGGTAGTTTTTTTCTGAAACCAAATTGTTTATTAGAGAGTAGGTTGTTTGTCTCTAAGTGGAGGATAATGGATTGGTTAATAATTGATTCTATGACTTCACAGGTGATGCAGCATAAAGAGATTGGTCTGTAATTTTCAACTAGACTGGGGTCTCTCTTTTTGAAGATGGGGATGACCGTGGCTTGTGACCATAGTTTTGGAAAGGAGCTGGTCCTGAAAGATTTTCCAAAGATTATGCTTAGAGGTTTGGCTATGGCAGTGGATAGCTTTTTTAAGAAGTAGGCACATATTCCATCCGGTCCAGTAGATAGAGATGGTTTTAGATTGCGTAGTGCTTTTTCAATATTGTCTTCTGTAAAATCTATATGTATTAGATCATTGTAGTTTTCTGTGGTTCAACTAGGAAATACTGGGCATGATCCATTGCTGTTTACAAATACTGAGCCAAAAGAATGTGTTAAAGAGGTTGGCTTTAATGGTGTTGTCGTTGCAGTCTTTACCATTGGGTGCCATCAGGGGTGGGATGGATCTTGAGTTTTTTAGTTTGTTGTTTACAAAATTGTAGAAAGCGCGGGTGGAATTGGTACGTAGAAGGTTTTCCTCTTGTTTAATGTGATAATTGGTGCATTCAGTCTTTATCTGGTGGCATAAATTTTTGTATCGGCTTTTGATTCAAAACAAAGATGGTATACAATTCCATCAATAATAGCTGAAATCAGACTGCAATAAATGTTGGAAATGTCATGAAACAGAAGGAACATTTTACCATATTTGACATGTAAAAGAACTCAAAAATATTGGAAAGACATGGTAAAATGCAGAAAATTGTGATTTGAAATGAAATCACAATTTTTCCTAGAAGGAAATCTTAGAAAAAAAAATCAAGAAAGATAATTTAAAGAGATACATGAGCAGCAAAAATAAATGAGACTCAACATTGGAAAAATACAATTCTAACAATATCTGACTGGGAACTTAAACTTGGAAAATATGCAGCTATGCTTAAACTAAACTTAATACTTATACAATAGAATTTTAACTAAATTTAAGAAGAATTTTTCCCATACATACAATATATTACTCAGCATGGCAAATATATCTGCTTATAGTCTGGCTTTTAGGGGCCCTGAATATAGAAATACTATACACTGCTCAAAAAAATAAAGAGAACACTTAAACAACACAATGTAACTCCAAGTCAATCACACTTCTGTGAAATCAAACTGTTCGCTTAGGTAGCAATACTGATTGACAATCAATTTCACATGCTGTTGTGCAAATGGAATAGACAACAGGTGGAGAGCATAGGCAGTTAGCAAGACATCCCCAATAAAGGAGTGGTTCTGCAGGTGGTGACCACAGACCACTTCTCAGTTCCTATGCTTTCTGGCTGATGGTTTGGTCACTTTTGAGTGCTGGTGGTGCTTTCACTCTAGTGGTAACATGAGACGGAGTCTTCAACCCACACAAGTAGCCTAGGTAGTGCAGCTCATCCAAGATGGCACATCAATGTGAGCTGTGGCAAAAAGGTTTGCTGTGTCTGTCAGCATAGTGTCAAGAGCGTGGAGGCATGACCAGGAGACAGGCCAGAACATCAGGAGACATGGAGGAGGCCGTAGGAGGGCAACAACCCAGCATCAGGACTGCTACCTCTGCCTTTGTGCAAGGAGAGACAGGAGGAGCACTGCCAGAGCCTTGCAAAATGACCTCCAGCGGGCCACAAATGTGCACGTGGCTGCTCAAATGGTCAGAAACAGACTCCATGAGGGTGGTATGAGGGCCCAACGTCCACAGGTGGGGGTTGTGCTTACAGCCCAACACCGTGCAGGCCGTTTGGCATTTGCCAGAGAACACCAAGATTGGCAAATTCGCCACTGGTGCCCTGTGCTTTTCACAGATGAAAGCAGGTTCACACTGAGCATGTGTGACAGATGTGACAGGGTCTGGAGATGCCGTGGAGAATGTTCTACTGCCTGCAACAGCCTCCAGCATGACTGGTTTGGCAGTGGGTCAGTAATGGTGTGGGGTGGCATTTCTTTAGGGGGACGCACAGCCCTCCATGTGCTCACCAGAGGTAGCCTGACTGCCATTAGGTACTGAGATGAGATCCTCAGACCCCTTGTGAGACCATATGCTGGTGCAGTTGGCCCTGGGTTCCTCTTAATGCATGACAATGCTAGACCTCATATGGCTGGAGTGTGTCAGCAGTTCCTGCAAAACGAAGGCATTGATGCTGGCCCGCCCGTTCCCCAGACCTGAATCCAATTGAGCACATCTGGGACATCATGTCTTGCTCCATCCACCAATGCCATGTTGCACCACAGACTGTCCAGAAGTTGGGGGATGCTTTAGTCCAGGTGTGGGAGGAGATCCCTCAGGAGACCATCCGCCACCTCATCAGGAGCATGCCCAGGCATTGTAGGGAGGTCATACAGGCACGTGGAGGGCACACACACTCCTGAGCCTCATTTTGACTTGTTTTAAGGACATTACATCAAAGTTGGATCAGCCTGTTGTGTTTATTTCCACTTTAATTTTGAGTGTAACTCCAAATCCAGACCTCCATGGGTTGCTAAATTTGATTTCCATTGATAATTTTTGTGTGACTTTGTTGTCAACACATTCAGTTATGTAATGAACCAAGTCTTTAATAAGAACATTTCATTCATTCAGATCTAGGATGTCTTATTTTTGTGTTCTCTTTATTTTTTTGAGCAGTGTATATTAGATCAGTAGTTAGGATGGGACCAAGAGGAGTAAAAAAATGGGCATAATCTATTGATTGAAAAATATTAAGACTATAAATTGTGTGATGCTCAGTTTTATTTTTCTAGAAATCTGTACAGACTATTGGTGAAGAGCAAGCTCAGAATCCATATACTGAGCTTCTTGTGCTGAAAGGTCACCATGATATAGTGCGTTTTCTAGTGGCAATTGATGACTACAGGTGAGACATTACTTCTATACTCCTCATTTGCACTGTAAAGATGACTTCAATTATTTTTTAAAAATGCATCTTAATGTTTGCTTTCCCAAATTGAAAAATGTATGATGCTTAGTTCTTACATATAAATTGATAGCCTTTAGCCAAAACCCAATTAAAAGACATCTGTCAAAGATTTTGACAGAGCAAGTTGTATGATTTTAATTGCCATTAGCTTTCCCCATTTCACTGGAAACAGATGTCTCAGGATGCATTATTCCACAATAGCTATATACATTTCATAAGTTGTTTTCTTATCAGCAAACATTGGAAAGAGCATTTTACCCAAAACAAAAGATACCTTACTGCTTTTGGTGAGTCGCACAACAGATAGAATAAACTGTACAAATTAGCTACATGTTATCAATTATATCTCTCAGACACATCACACTTTATTCCATATTTTTGAAGAGCAGGTTGTGTTAAGTTTACACAGTGAAATGTAGTACAGAGTTTTAAAGCAAATTTGACATACTAAACTAAAATCATTTTTTGATAATATTTATTTAAAGAAGAATAATTTATACAGAAGAATATTACATCTTCCTTTAATTATAATACAATTTTATTTTCATTGTTCCTTATTCAGTCACTAGAGGATTTTTAACTTATTATTTTATTTGATTCTTTCCAAAACATTAGCATTGTTACTTGGCTTCTGAAACAATTTTATTTAGTTTTCATAATTCTTTGATTGCATTTTTGTCAACTGTTGTAAGCCAGGTTTCATGCTTCAGCTCTCTAGATAATTTCATCTTATTGAGAATTTTGCAGAGGGATTTTCTTGTTTTCTCTGTGGCTCAGCTAAAACCAGTGAGTGGAAAATTTTCTCAGATTGGTTTCTGAAGATACTAAATAAATCCTGTATCAACCTAACAGGCAGCTGCTTTTCACTTCTTTTCTTTTATGTTTTTGAACATGAAGAGAAGGTCATATTGATTGCAAGATCACTAAAGAAGGCTAAGCCTTAGCAAGCATCTTTCAAAAAATGGAATGAAATAAAATTGCAAGTAATACTCTAGCATTTGACACATTAAACTGGTTGAATTCGTAACACACTTTAAAAATTGCTTGTTTGATCATTTGGTGCTCCTCCAGGAAATAGACAAGATTATAGAGGATGGTGATCATGACTGGAAAAGAATCAGATGACCCATGAAACACCAACTTGGTGAAAAGAAATCCATTTGCAATATGAGATTGATCTGGCAGGGGAATGTCACATGAAAACCTGAGTTTCATAGTTTAATTATTTTTTAAAAAAAATCTAAAGCATTGTTCTTTATTGAGACATTCTTTCTAGAAAATTTTAAAAAGTATAGCTATGCAACATAATGTGATAGTAATTCAGTAAATCGTTTCAGAATTAAATTTAGCTTGTAGCAGGCTAGTGTTTCTTATCTGGATTCAGCGTTTTAGATGACTATTTTGACCTTGTTATAACAAAGGAATGCAGAGGTGCTAGAAATGGAAGCCCGATCATATAAAAATATAATACACATTTTATTTATTCAATAATAACATGATCTCATTTTGAAGATTTAAGTAAACTTTCTAAGGTTCAGTTCATTTATGTCTTTGTATATATCTGTCACTGGTCTATTTAAATAATGATTATCAATGACCATTTTTATTGCTTTTTTGTAATGTAATTACAGAGGTCTTCAATATTTGTTTTCATTACTAGGTTTGCATCTGCTGGTGATGATGGAATTGTATGTCTCTGGAATGTCCAGGTTTGTTTTGAAAATTAAAAATTGTTTATAAAAATATCCATAGATGTAGATTGGGTGATGTTTAAATTCACAACTTGCTGAAACGTAAAATTAGCTATTATTTGTATTCCAAAGATTTATAACAGAATCATTATTGCAGAAGCAGAAATATAAATTTAAAAATGCAATCTGCAGGTCATAATAAAGAACATGGATTTGTGAATGTAATTTATAGTTGAAAAGGTGAAGATGAAATGGGCATTTAGATTATCAATATCTTTACATATGTGCAGTATTAGAATATTTGTGCAGAAATGGTTCAATTGCATGTTTTTCAATACTGTTAACAAATCAGTGAACTATTTTTTAATTTTATATGACCAGACACTTATGCAGTACAGGTAGTCTTTGAGTTATAATAGCAATAGGGACTAGGAGTGAGATAGCTCAGCTAGATGATCCTAAAGCATGACATCATGCGATTGCATTGCTTAGCAATGACAATACATGCAGTCCCATTTATTGTTGTAACCCCAGGATCTTGGGTTGTTTATCAGGAATCACAGGGAGTCCCAGGTACAGGGTGTTGGGGTATTGGGAGAGTACTGGAGGAGATTGGGGGAGGCCTGCAAGGCCTGGCACAGGTACACATAAGTTGTGGGAGGGAGTGCTATGAGTCACTAATTGCTCATTTATAATCGGACCTCAACTGTGTTTATTACTTTGCTTCAGTTTTCCTTCCCTCCCCCCTCCACCATTTTGAATGTTCATCCAGGCGCTGGTATAATTAGAAAGAAAGGAATTATTGTTTGTATTTACATTCATTAGAGAGAAAGGGATTGCAAGAGAGTAAGAAGACATACAATAGGAAATACACATAGAAAGAAATGTGCTCGCGCCAGCTGTTTGTGCATGGCTCCCTGCTCTGAATGCGCCAGGCAAACAGCTGTTGCTATTCTCATTATGTGCCTGCTGTCTCTTTGTCATTTCTTCCTCTCCAGTCTCTCTATTCTGTGAGGGAGAGGGGATAAAAACAATGGGTCAGTCACAGCAGAAATTGTCTTAAAAATTGCTTAAGCAATCTCGCCACTCTGCAAGAGAGGGAAAAAAGAAAAAAAAACCATCAGGCACAAGACAATGCGTACTAACTGTAATGTCAAACTTGTGGCTGAGAGAGACATGCTGGACTTACATTTTCAGCACCATCATATTTTTCAGCACCTTGGAAGGGTTGCTGCACCAAATCTACTGTACTTGTCGATGTCAGAGTAGGTTGAAGCAGATCTTTCACCTGTTCCTTGTGTGGCTGCCTGGCCTGTCTACCAGTGGCTGTTGATCCTTGAATGTAATGAATATGGAGTTTTCTTTCTACTTTTGTACTCACAAATGTGCTGCTAGATATTTCAAAAATAGAAGCATTTTATAGTTGATACATGGCTTAATCTGGATTGTATTGAGTGAAAGGCATTTTATCACAGAATCAAGCTTCTTAAGAATGTTGATTTCCTTTTTTTCTTTTTCTTTTTAAAAAGCATTTGAAGTCTAAAGTAGTAAAAACAAACGTATTCTGTTCAAAGTGCCAACTAAATTTAAGAAGTCAGAGCAAAAATTTTAATCTCTTAATTCTTTTCCATACCTAGCGTTAATACAATAAATCATTTTAGTTACTATAAACACAAATCAAATACAATAACCTTTTTTTAATTACCTATCTTGTATTACTAAGATAATTCAACTTTCTAGTATAAGAACACTGGTACGTTTTTAGAAAAGGCTCTAAAATTGTATTTTTGAAAAGGCAAAATGCACTTCATATGGGGCATTGAAATATGCCTGGTGAAATATACAAATATTTTTCAGATTTTGCTGTAAGAATAGTAACAAAGGAATTGAAAGTCATCATTCTGGGGCAGATTTTCATTCATTAATTCATTCATTTTGTATTGCCACCCATCTCATGCCACCCATCTTTTGTTTATGACCCCATACAGTATCTATGATATTGTTGGAAAAGATCCTGCCTGAAATTTTGAGAGCTTTTACCCACGTAATGCTGATTAACCTTCCTTAGCCTACCATTATCCAGATGTATTTTCTGTCACCTAATGTAATTGTTAGCTTACGGTGAACAGATTGATAGGATTTTCTGCAAAATAACAGCAGCAGGTGAGGGAAGGTTAATGGAGCAGTTATTTGCATTGTATAGTATCAGTTCTCATTTTGAGCATTCTGATTACAGTAGTTGTATTGTTTCTTCATAACACATGTTTCTGTGTTCATTTAGCACTGTTGTTATAACACCAAGTTTGTTTTTGTTTTTCAGACTGGAGAAAAGTTATTTGAGCTACATGCACATACACAAAAAATCACAGCTCTTGCAGCTTTTCCTTTGTCAGATACCTGTGAAGAAAAATGCCATATGATTTTGACAGCAAGTGCTGACAGGACTGTAGTTGTATCCTCTACTTTTTGACCAGAGAAATGCAGAATTGGTTTGTGTTGCATAATAAATGGTGCATATGGCTCATAGTGTTATTACATCAAAGTTTGGAGTTTGAATGAGCAAATTGCTATAAAACTGCTATAAAAGCATTTTCTATGACAAATTGATTAGTGGCTAAAGAGGACAATGATAAGCTGCAGTTGTGAAAACCTGGTTTACTCTGCACAAATCTTCATTGCGTGGACTTTACAAGGCTGTTGGTGATAATTAAGAATCATCAGGTTGAACAATAAAAAGTCTTAGGAAAAGATTTTGCATATTTGCATACCTGGTGCTTCTCTTACAATAAGGAATTAAATTCTACAGGTGTCTTCTTCCATCATACCACATTTTGTGTGATAGCAAGAGGCTCAAGGAAACACTTTTGCATGGGATATAGCTGTGGGAAATAAAATCATATCTAACTGGTTTCTCAATTTTATGCCTCATTTTTTTTAAATTATAAGATATATAAGAAATTTCAGCTGCTATTCTTAGTCCTTAATGACTGAAACCAGGTTTGGGATTGTGACAATGGCAGACAGATTCACAGAGTATCCTGTTTTCATTCCACCGTAAAGGTAAGTAAAACTGGTTTTTTTTCCTATTTAATTTATTTGGATCATCGGTGTCAAACTCACGGCGTCATGTTGCCATCACTTGATGGATCATGATGTTACCTCCCTTCATGCAGCTGGGGTGGGGGTGGCCTGCACATGACGCATCTGCCCCAACGGCCACCAGTTTGACACCCCTGATTTAAATTTTAATCTTACACTGTCAGTTTTAAGGCTACAGTTGTATATTCGTTACATACTATGAATCCAATCACAGCTAACAAATTTACATGTTTTGGTGTTTGCCTAATCTTATCCAATAGTAGATACTTTGGGTTCCTTTTTAGATACCTTTAGAGTTCAGTGAACTATATATGTTCAATCTTCTTAGTTAGAGCCGTTGCGCATTACCATAGAATGGATTCAATCACTTTGTCCATTAGCAAGAGTATTAATCACTATTATAAATATCTTTGTATAATCTTGGAAGCCTATGGTTTTCAACCAATGTATTCTTGAAATTATGGTAGAAGATTCCTTTAAGTGTGCAAACACATGCTTCTATCATTTATTAGGCAATTGCTTGAAATTCTCATTTAACGACCACAATTGAGACCAGAATCTTAATTGCTGAATGAAGCAATCATTAAACTCATGACTGCTTTGCTCAACAACTACAATCCCAGCACTACTAGTTGCAATCATTAAGTGATCTCCTGGGTCTTTTGGATGGATCAGAAGAGCTGCCTGTCTTTCATTCTTAAGCTTTCCCGCAGCCACCAAAGGATTTCAGCTCCCCTCTGCGTACTGAAGGGAGATCCTTCAGCAGGCTGCAGGTACGGAGGTGAAATCTGGAAGGATTTCAGCTTCCCTTTGTCAACTTTGCTTGCAACCTTCCTGTTTTCATCTCTCTCGATTTCCTGAGAAAGCTGGCAAAGAAGATAGGAAATGACAACCACATGATCGTGGGGCTCTTGGTAATCAGTTATAAATGTGAGCCAGTTTTCCAATGCCCAAAATGTGGTCATGTGACCAAGGGTGTTGTGCAATGTTTTATGAGAGCCAGAAATGCTTTACAAGCCACAAAGCAGTTTTTAAAAGCTGGTGTAACTTTGAACGGCCGTTAAAACAACTGGTCATAAATCAGGACGTTAAACAAGTAATCATAAATTAGTTTTAAGCTTCTGTCTGACACAGAATGTGGAAAGCGATGTCAGTATTGGTCTTTAATATTAATACTTTTCAGGTGGCAGTACTGAGGTACTATCTGGTAACTTCTCTCTCATGTAAAATCTTAATTTCAGTTTTGTGCATTTAATGTTGACCTATTTGAAAAACCTGGAACATCCCTAGGACTAATTATTTTTGTGGTATTCAAAGTCTCATTTTGAGTTGCTTTCTTTTAAACAAAATTGGGCAAGGGATATGAAAACATTCTTCATGTGATATTGTCTTGACAAAAAAAATATTTCAAAGATTTGAAAAATATAGATTGCAATCCTGCTTAATTGGAAAATAAGAGTTATTGAATATAAGGGAAGAATGACTCAGAGGGTAAAGATGCTGAACTTGTCAGCTGGAAAGCTGACAGCCTGGGATCAAGACCTGAGTCCTGTGTGACCTAGCAGTTTGAAAGCATGCAAATGCAAGTAGATAAAAAGGTACCACTTCCATGGGAAGATAACTGCATTCTGTGTGCCTTGGCACATATTCATACTGGCCACATAACCATGGAAATTTCCTTGGACAATGCTGGCACCCTTAGCTAAGAAATGGACATGAGCATTGCCCCTAGAGTCAGGTATGTCCAGATAGGGAAAACCTTTACCTTTTTGCCTTTGAGAAGACACACATTCAACTGCATTTATAATTCAACATGATCTTGAAATATTGGAATTTCCTTTTTTCCCTTTTCCCCTTTCTGCTTCATAAACTGCGTAAAGCTGTATAAATGAAAATAAATGTTACTGGGAGGGAATTAAATGCTTTAGTTTCTAAATGTTACTAGGAAATTGAATGTTTTAGTATCTAAACTTGATAATTTTATTTGAAAACATACTTCAAAAATATTACATATTATATATTTGATTTTGTAATTTGTAGTGTTTGACTGTTCTTCAAAGAATGGAAGTATGGCTTTCTGGAGGAAGTGATTTGTGTGTTTGGAACAGAAAATTAGATCTCTTGTGTAAGACAAGTCACCTAACTGATGCAGGTAAACAAATTTAAATAACGTATTAAAACAGTAGAATGAATCTGTATAATGTTATAACATTAATTTGGCAAAGTCTCTTTGATCCTAAAGATAACATATATTAAAGCGTAATGAAGGTTAAAAGAAGGTTAGAATTTATTTTCTTACTGGACACATGTAGGACTTTCAAATATAACAGCAACAAAATCTGAGTTGTATTTCCCATCATTTTTGTTGTTTCTTTTCATAATCCAGTCTATTTTGCTTATCCTCCTTAACTGAGACATCCTTTCATATTTGATTATTCTTTGAATGGCTTATTATTTGTTGCTTTATTGTTCTTGTTTATCTGACACTGATTCCAACTTATTTGGTTGTTTATGAGATCTGTGATGGGGGTCTGATGTATCAGATAGAACTATTGGCCTCTTTCCTTGACTTTGCTTGAATTGAGAACTATCTCAATTCATCTGCTAATGACAAACTTGCTGGTGTGTCAAGTCTCTAGGAATTATTTTGGATTCTTGGATCTGGCTCGGTCTAAAATTGCTACTAGGTAGGAGATTGGCTGAACATATCCATAAATGTGAATTAACAGAAGACATGTTGAAAACTCTTTTTAATTTCACAACATACTGACAATTTCAAACACGGTTTGATTTGAAAACTGGACATTTTGATCATGGCCAGATGTAAACATGCAAAAGATTCTTAGGATTGGGTGAAGCCTGACAGATATGTCTGGATTGAGACATGTATGTTTTGGCCTAGACATGACTAGAATACAAATGTTCCAAGAATAAGTGTTTTTATATAGGAGAATGAGAAAAATCCACGGTCATTGGTAGTATGCAGTAGCAAAGGTGAAGCATGAAAAATAAAATGCTGGGAATATTGGGAGATGGATGGAACCAATGGGGTATCTACCACCAATGCCCCTGACTTCAAGTTCAGTGTGTCAAAACTGCCTGCCCATTCCCCCAGTTTTCCAAGAGATTGCCTTTCCATATCTCTCTTTATGCCGGTGTCCTTGGTTTCAAGTGCAACATAAGAAAAGATAGGGAATGAAAGGCACTTGGCTAATTAGTAGATGGGGCAGCCAACAGACCATTCACAGAAAAATAGAAGAGATGGAGAAAACACACCAGTCTTGCCCTACTATGCTTGTGTGATTACTCTGGATTTTCGTTCAATTGAAGTGCAAACCCACCAATTTTGAGGGGAGGAAGGTTTGGTTTTTGCTGAACTACACTACATCCAGCACAATTTGGCAGAACTGCTGAACGTAGTATTTGTTTCGGGTTTGAATACATTTTCTGCTTCATGCGCACCTTTAGCTATATCCAATAAGCCCTCCCAACACTAGCCATTGTCTCAAAATCTGTTGATAAAAAGATCGGAACATCTTTCATGGGGTGTCTTTGTGTTTTATCTCCTACACAGATAAAAATTGTTTTGTATAACCTCTTTTTTTGTGGCTTTCCTGGTAAGTGTTCCTAAGAAAAGCAAAACATATATCAGCTGATTTAAGTAGCCTTCGGAGAGTAGTCCGACGGTAGCACATAATTTTTTTGAAATAACATATAAGCTAGACACTAATTTCCTATTTGTTCTACTTTCCCCACTTCTTAATAAAGATATCAGTGCCATGATTGAATTGCCGAAAAACTGTGTGGCAGCAGCTGTTGGCAAAGAATTGGGTAAGCATTATTGTAAATTAGAGGAGTGTCAGCTCTTGTGGGCTGAGCACCACATTTGATCTTTGAATGGCTAGAACTTTTTTTTGGTGGCAAAATAATATAAGGGTCTTATTTTCAGGGAAACACAGTACTTTCTAACAATCATCTTGATTAAACACAGAAAAGAAGGGATGGTAATGGAATGGTATATCCTGAAAAAGAGCATTATGGGCTAAAAGTACCACAAACATGTTGCTGATAGCAAGTAAAGAACAATATTTCAGATAATATAGTTTCCTATACTTTAATACAGTTTTTTAAACATGAATTTTGTCTTCCAAGTAATTCTAAAATTGAAAGCTTCCAGAGATGGAACCGAATGGGATGTGTCTGAAATAAAACGACTTCTTGATCACCAGGATAATATTGTGTCATTGGTCAGTGTCAGTGGTAAGCCTATTTATTATTTGTAATGATTGGTACAACACTCATTGCACATTATATATTTTCATAACTATCTTCTACCTTTGCCAACTGGAATTCATATACCTCTATAAACTTTTCCCTAATAAAGTTAGAAGTTTTTGTTTTTAAATATTCCAAATGTCTATACTAGAAATATGGGGAGGGGGCCAGGGAGGAATAAGATGGCACATTCTTGAATGCTGACTTGGGGAAGAAATCCAGAATCTTTATATTTTACAAAGATGAGTCTTTTGTGATATACTAAGAGACAACATAGTTTTAGTGTCTAGTAGAAAGTTATGGTTCCTATTTTAGAGAGATGAGATGAAGGTAACAGCAAAGTAAAATTTTGCTTCTGGGAAATATTTTAATAGTTGGTTTCAGCAAGCCATGGTTAATTTAAATTTCATCAGCTCCCGGTCAGTAGCCTGGAGCAATAGAACATTTTACTATGTTCTCTATAACTTTACTAAAAAACCCTTTTTGGAAAGGATTATACCCTTTACAAACATTTCTCTTTATAAAACATAATATTTTGCCCATTTTTTAATCCAAATGTTTGAATAAAGAATAGATTTCTATTTATCAGTATCTGTGTTTACTATTTTGATATCTAGATTTGATTTTTGCGAGTGGCTCCCATGCTGGTGAAATGATTGTGTGGAATTCATTGGACTGGACAATGCGAGCGTATGAATGCAATTGGGATGCATCTCTTCATGTGAACCCCCAACAAGAAATAAAATTATCACAAAGTCAAAATGAAATGTCAATTCAGGATTTAACTTGTGATGATGAGGTAAAAATAATAGTATAGAAGTTATGTAAATTATATGTTTCATTGTTAATAAATGATATCTTATTATATAATTGGAATATTTTTCAGTTGTATGTTATTTTCAACCAAACTAGAAATACTGTTAATCAGTCCTAAGCAAAGGATCTATGGATAAAGTTTTAATTTTGAAAATTTCCTTTAGTTGTTGTAAAATCATTCATATATAAGACTATTAAATGCAGATGGATGAGTTCATTTCAAAACTGAAGTAGGGTATACTTTAATGTACTTGGTACAATATTAGTAGTAATGAGGTACACGGGAATATGAAAAATATAATTTGTGAGTAAAATCCTCATTATTGAAGTGAATAATTTAACTTTCAGAAAAAGTTAAATTCTGAAATATTCCTCATTTTCCTATTTTCCTTATATTTAATAGTAATCTTAACATTTCAGTTTACTATATTGACTAACCACAATTTACTGAGTGAATTTGGCAGTCAGGTTGTATGTCAAGTTGGTCTTGCTATATGAGTCATATATGATGCAGCTAGAAATACTAGGCATGTTGTTTTAAATTCCACAAAGGAAAGAGAAATGTGCATGTATTAAATACATAAAATAATGATAACTTCCTTTGCAATTAAGTAAATTTTTGTATAATTGAGGGACCTCCTTAGATGCACATGAAAGAGAGATTGGCAAATTGCTTTTCTAAAAAAACGTAAAACCTCAAATGCTGTAACACCCAGGAAATCAATTATACTTTGACTTGGTGCAAACCCCGCATCTGATGATGAATATTGAATTTGAGATTATTGAATTTGCTCCATCTCTAATTCACATGTTTATGGTGGTCTGCCTGTAATACAGGTAGTCCTTGACTTACGACCACAACTGAGTCCAAAATGTCTGTTGCTAAGGGAACATTTGTTAAGTGAATTTTGCCCAATTTTATGACCTTTCTTGCTCCAGTTGTTAAGTGAATCACTGCACTTGTTAAATTAGTAACATGGCTGTTAAGTAAATCTGGCTTCCCCAATGCCTTTGCTTGTCAGAAAGTCACAAAAGGACTCTGCATGCCGAGTCTCTGAATTTTGATCACATGACATGGGTATGCTACAATGGTCGTACCTATGAAAAATGGTTATAAATCACTTTTTTCAGTGCTATTGTAACTTCCAACAGTCACTGAATGAACTATTGTAAGTTGAGGACCATCTGTATATAGAACATAAAATGCTGGGAATACCAGAGTTTTGTGCACAATGCAAAGTAACATTTTAAAAACGAAATAGTTCTGTTTAGCTCTTAGTAGGGAGGAAGGACATTAGACTCAGAGAGTATCAGTTCTGTTCTTGAGTCAGAGTGACCTTTCCACTGCTTGTCAAAGTACAGCCAGTTGGATGGATTCAGAGATCATAGAGGGTGAAGGGATATAGTTGTATATTCAGGGATGCTGTAATAAAGCCTTATTTTCAATGAGGGTTTCTTTTCATAACGTTGTGTATATAAATGGAGTTCCTCTTACAAACAATTGAATCTATTTTTCTCATTCTTTTTCTCATCCTTGCTTGATTCTCTTCCAGCATATCTTTAACTTTCCAATCCCTTTCTTCCTCCTTCCATTATTGCTCACTTGAACACATTCTAAATATTGTTTAAAGACAATAATTGTTCAATTCTAATTTGTTTACTGCTCATTTATTTTTTCTTTAGTCCTATAAATAGTTTATTACTTTTTATTAACTTTTACATTGTTAATATTGTTCATGTGCAATATTTTCTTTCTGTATTTTGCCAGTGTGTCTTTCTACCAGCAGTCCCAGCCTTATTTTGTGTCTGCTGATAAATTTGGGAGTGTTAGTATATTTCATAATATCACCACAAAAGTGAGAACACAGGAAGAAGGAATCTCAATCAAATTATTCTGGGAAAGTGTTCTAGAAATGGCTGCTGTTGTCAGAAGACCTTGAAAATTAAAAATTTCTGCACTGATTTTAATAGTCTAAATCAGGGCTCTCAAACTCGTGTTGGATGCGTCACGTGTTGGCCACACCTGGTTTAGCCAAGAGGAAAAGCGTCCTGATATGTGATGCCAGCGTGACCGCAAGTTTGACACCCCTGGTCTAAATTGTGTCATTTTGAGAAGACTTTCCTCCCTCCCTCTGTCTCTCAAATTGTGTGTGACAATTTGGTAAACTTCATCCCGCAAAATAGCATAACTTCCCTGCACGTTTATTCCATTCTGATTAAAATACAAACATTATAGGCACTGTGAGAAATGTATTTCCTTTGGTTGGTAATGGGAGGGTAGATCTTCCCTTACCCTGAATAAATAGCAGAATTAGGAATTAGGAATTAATCAAGATGAAATATCTTTCAAAAACCATCAGGTAATATCTGGCTGCATTGGTGATTGAATAACCCATCAGATATGATTGACAGTTTAAGACAGTGATGGCTAACCTTTTCAGCTTGGTGTGTCGAAAATCGGGAAAAAGTGTAGCCTTCCTCGGGTTGTGTGTCACTTCAAGAAATATCAATAATTTGGTTTATGACGGACTGGGCTGGGGTGATCACACAGGGCTGTGAAACTCGTCTCCGTGGTCTCAGGGCTGCAGGTGCAGGATGTGGGGATCGGAAGGCCACCTTACAGGGCTGTGAACCTAATGGATCTCCTTTCCTCCTGTAGCGTTCCTGAGGTAATGAAACTGACAAACCTCAGTTTATGGCGGTTAAAACTGGTTCTCTGCTGCAAAGTTCTTGCGGCAGGGGTGACACCACGCCTCCATACAACAAGCAGGGAGCAGGGATTGGAGCAGAGCACAGGCAGCCTCTAAATGTGCAGGTTTTCCCCACACCAACAGGCGTGTCAGTCAAAGTGCCTCGGTGTGTCACAAGTGACACACGTGTCATAGGTTAGCCATCACTGGTTTAAGAGGTGGAACTGGGTCCTTTACTGCTAAAACCATAGAAAATGGCTTTTACAATTTACCTTTCCAGCCCAGTATAATTGACTCATATCTGGCATGATTCTGTAGCCTTACGTAGCCTTAAATATCTATTGCTTAACCCTTTTACATATAAAGGACAGTGAGAAGTAAACAAGATGTTATTTGTTCCCTCGCAGATTCTTTCTTCTGTGATATCTTGAGCAAAGGGTTTGGCCTTTTTTCCAGGTCAGCAGAACCTCCAATACCAGCAAACTACCTCATGCAAGAGATGGCTCAAATGGGAACTTATGTTGCAAATCCTCTTGTGCAGTTGAAAAACTTAAAAACACTTCAATGATTTCCATACATGTTTCAGTTTCTCAAAATGGTATAGCGTTTTAGAAGTATTTTTATTTGTAGGTGTTTTTTCTGCCATGACAATCTGGGAAAGAAAACTCATTAAACTGCAGTGAAGAATACATTTAATAAAAGAGTCAGTAACAAGTGTGGATGCTCCATCACTGGACATTTTAAAGAAGAGATTGGGCAGCCATTTGTCCAGAATGGGATAGGGCCTCCTACTATGTAATTCATAGTTTGATTATACTATTAATATAAACTGAAGTCTAATATATTTTAATCAATATAGTAGTCATAAATCAGGATGTGCATAGTTCTTCCCTTCTTACATATTTGACTTAATTAGAAGTAATTGGGAACCTCTTACCTAAAATACGTATCTTTTGTTAATATGTTTTATTGACTATTTTTTCCAGTGTGTTTTTGCTGCTGTTGGCAAAGGCATCTATGTATATAACCTTCAGATGAAACGTGTGATTGCATTCCAGAAGACTGCTCATGATTCCACTGTCCTGCATATTACCTACGTTCCCAACAGGTGCAATTTACATTGTATATTTCATACATTCTTTATTTTCAGAAATATGATCAAGGACATGCTTAATATTTATTGCATTTTTTTCTCTTAAACTTTCTTTACATTGAATTCTATGATAGTCTGCGTGCAGGCAACCTAATCTTTAGCCCAAACAACCTCTTTTTACATTTAAGATAATTTAAAAAAAAATATTAACAAAGAAACAAAAATCTCGGATCTGTGAGAATCCCTAGATTTTATCCTTTGAGATAGCATAGCAGCACAGCATAGGCTCCACTGAAGATAAGCAAAACCTATCATAAGAGTCTTTCACATACATGTTTTTCCCCTTTCCATTCTGGTTTAAATTGGATTATCTCATTTGTGATGAAACCACTTGTTTTAAGCTTAATTGTATGTTTTTTTTTAACTTGATTGGTTATAAGCTGCCTAGAGTTGTTGATAAAACAGCGAATTGTGTAGGTAAATCAATAAAATCAATTCTAGAGATGGACACTACTTTTTAAAAATTAGTGTCAATTGATTTTGTGTAGTTGTGCAAATATGCTTCTTCACAACTATTTCACTTATAGGAAATTAATATCGTGTTCAGAAGATGGTAGTGTTCGTATGTGGGAATTACGTGAAAGACAACATCTTACAGCTGAACCTGTTCCATCAGGTCTGTATACAAAAAAAATAAGATTAATTGCATACAAATGAGTGTGATCAGCCATAGCTTATCTACTTCAGAGTCCCATTTATAACAGTAAAGATGTTCTTCTGTCCTTTTATTAGTAGTAGTATTTATGAAAATTTTGAAAGCAAAGCAGATCCCTTTTAATTTGAATCTAGCCAATATTTTGTTTTTATTTTAGGAAAAGTAAAAAGCATATATTGTCTTTAGTAGAAAAGTATACATGTTCTCTAAATGGAGCTATATTTATCAGCTTAAGAATTGCATTTAATCCTAGAGCCACTGCATGGATAAAATAGAGTTATTCCTTCTGAATAAGAAATTCACTGCCATATTATAGCCTTATATAAAATAGGTTACAGTAGGATGGGATGGTGTGGTTTTTCTCATAGATTGTCTTGGAATGGCAAGAATACATTTCATCCCATTAAATGTAATGAACAGCTAAATGAATTAGATGTATGATTGTTTCAGCCAAAATTTTGAAGAAAAGGCGTGTTTGTGTATTGCTATATGGAGAATAAGCGGTCCTGTTTATAATCATGATAGCACTATTCCAATATCTAAGGGGCTGGCACAAAGAAGAGGGGGCCAACCTATTCTAAAGCACCTGAAGGCAGGACAAGAAGAAATGGATGGAAACTAATCAAAAAGAGAACTAACCTAAAACCAAGGAGACAATTATAACTGTCAATCAATGGAATGGCTTGCCTGCAGAAGTTGTAAATGCTCCAACACTGGAAGTTTTTAAAAAAGATATTGGACAACCATTTGTATGAAATGGTAGGATCTTCTGCTTGTGCTGGGCTTGGGCTAGAAGACTTCCAAGGTCCCTTCCTATTCTGTTATTCCATTTTTCTATTAAAAGTAGTCAAAATCAGTCTATTTAAAAATGCCAATGCAAATTATTACTGGAACTTTCAAGTAAATTCTTTAGTTCCAAAAATGCCCCATATTAGTGAGGCACTGTTTATCCAGATATACCATAAATCTGCCTAACTTCCCACTCCATATTTAACTATTCTTTTCAGATAGCCCTTTATTTAGAAATAATAATAGCAAATATCAGGTTGTTGTAACAAGCTAGGTTAAATGCTTTTTTCCTCACTGGCTGAAACTTAGATTTGAGAGGAATATCTTTTGTCAGAGGGTTTTGCCATTGCAACTGCAAAATGGTGGGGTTAGTGAAAAATATACTGGCCTTTACAAATAAAAAAGAAGTCAAGGTTTCTATAAGTCAAGGTTTCTATAAAAACCAAGGTTGAAATAACTATGATTATCTTAGGCTCTTGCCCTGAAGTTATGAAACAACCAGGGGTGGGATTCAAATTTTTAACAACTGGTTCTGTGGGCATGGCTTAGGTGGTGGGCATGGTTTGGTGGTCATGTGACTGATGGACATAGCTTGGTGGTCATGTTATTGGCTGGGTGTGGCCAACTCAATATCACTCACATCGAGGCATGCATCTCCTCGCCTGGCCTCTCATGACTGTGGGGATGCTGCAACAGTCATAAGTGTGAAAAATGGGCATAAGTCACTTTTTTCAGTGCCATTGTAACTTTGGTCACTGCACACAAGCAAAGTACCAGCAAAGGAGGGGGAAAAAACGCCAGAGACGTTCCTGAGACAGGAAGTCTAGTCCTGCCAAGAATGTAATAAGGGTTAATGGAGAGGCAGTTTCTGTCAGCAACACCAGAATGTTTCCTTCCTGCCTTCCTTACAGGATTAGGCCAGTAATTTCTTCTAACAACCGGTTCTCCGAACTGCTTAGAATGTTAACAACTGGTTCTAGCGAATAGGTGTGAACTGGTAGAATCCCACCCCTGGAAACGACTCTTCAGAAGGCTCTGGCAGTGGCTGTTGAACTAAGGACAGAGATAGTAAATTAAAGTAGAATGGCCAGATTATTTTAGCTACATTTTTATCCATTTATTGTGGCTGCATGTTTTATGGCTCAAAAATGTATATTGCTTAATGTAAATAGCTGGTATTATTTACAACTGATTTCATTCAACATTGGATCCATTGTTCACAATAAATGTTAGCATGTAATTATTTAGCTTATTCCAAACTATGTAATCTGAATTAGACATTTTTGTTCTTACATATAACATGATTATGATTACATAATATTTTGAAGTGAAAATTAATCTTCAGTCACTGTGGCCAATATCTCACCCTCTATACGTAGGCAATAGCAAGAGTGGATGCAAATAAAATAAATGCTAATTCAGAAAAGTTTTTGATTATCAAATTTTGGGTGTGAATAGAACAGAACAGAACAGAACAATGTTTGGTGGCTAGAGAAACAACTCCTTTTTTAAAAAAAACCCTTTTCTTTATATTCTAGGTTTTTTCAATATCTGGGGATTTGGTAGGACAAGCAAACAAGCAAATCACACAGCTAAAAAGGCACCAGAGTGTGCTACTGTTTTTTCCCTTGACCTTACTGGGGATCTGATTGGACACTCTGCAGCTGTGCAGGTTTGTTGGATCTAGAACATCAGATAACAGAAGTTGCTTTTGTATGGTGGCTACTTTTTAAGATAACTGTTACCTTGGCTTTGGTTGTCTCATCCTTGGGGAGGCTTTTGTTTTGGTCCTAAGAACATTTTATCTTATTCCTGCATTGGTGTAGGAAAAATGTTTGCAGGCCAACTCTGCCCACAGCCTGGAGTTCAATCCTGACTCAGGTTGACTCAGCCTTCCATCCTTCCAAAGTCGGTAAAATGACCCAGATTGTAAACGTTGTAAACTGCTTAGAGAAGGCTGTAAAGCACTGTGAAGCAGTATATAAGTCTAAATGCTACGGCTATGCTATCATGGCAAAATGAAATGTTAATGTTTAAAAGGTTCCCTAAAAACTGTGATGGTGAAATACACAATATGCTTTCAAAGTCATTTCTGTCTAGGAAGATGTATTATGAAGTGGCTTTTTAAAATGGTTTCTCAAGAATTTCTTTTATTTAGTGGGAATACAGGTAGTGCTTGACTTAAGACCATAATTGAGCCCAAAATTTCTTGTTAAGTGAGACATTTATTAAGTGAGTTTTGCCCCATTTTGCAACCTTTTTTGCCACAGTTGTTAAGTGAATCATTGCAGTTGATAAGTTAGTAACCCGGTTGTTAAATGAATCTGGCTTCCCCTTTGACTTTGCTTGTCAGAAAGTCGCAAAAGGTGATCACATGATCCCAGGACACCGCAACGGTCATAAATATGAACAAGTAGCCACACATCCAAATTTCGATCACATGGTTATGGAATGCTGCGAAGATCGTAACTGTAAAAAATGGACATAAATCACTTCAGTGCTATTGTAATTTTGAATTGTCACTAAACAAGGACTACCTGTATATTATTTTTAAAAAACTCACCTATATGTGCCCACAGTTTCACTTTGTGGATTGATCCCAATCTGTCTTGAGCCATTTGTCTATATTTAGAGTTACACTGAAATTTGCTATATGTTTATTCATTTGATATTCTGCTTGCCCAGAATTCTCAAATATTAAATTATTACCATTCTTTGCATTTTATTTAACTCTGCTGTTAAATGATGCTTTTATCATGCAGATTTAGTATATTTGAACTAAAAACTACATATAGATTTAATCAAAATTGAAACAATAATTTCACACAATGCTATTTACATAACATTAATATACCAAAGATAGAATAAATATATATCATTGTCTTTTTCACATAAAGATGTGGGCATACTGTTGCAATTTGATTGGATTTTGGTAATTTGGCAGCTACTTCATATGACATTTTGGATGTCAAATCCACCCTCATTCAAATCAAAAGTCTCTAGCTGCATCTCAGAGAAAAATAAATTGATTTATTAGGAGTGGCCATGTTGGCATAAACTGGATACAACCGATACTAAATTACACCATACATTTCCCCCTTGACCCTGGTCTTCCCCCCACTCCCTGGATGTCACTACTCCAGTGGGACACATCCATCTCCAAGAGTCATCCATCATACTCTCCAATAACCTTCATATGCTCTGACAACTTTGGGCTACCGGGGTGATTATCTAGGCATTTAAGGAATGCCTTGTTTTCCCCCACTCCCTTTTTCTGGTAGCTAAAAAGACCACAGGAGTATCTTTTTAGTAGACATTGGATTTATTTCATAAAAAATATGAAGGCCTATTATGTTAATGAGAATGTTTGTACAGTGTCTTGTACAATGTACAATGAGGCTACAAACCTCATGCAGTGTAATCAAGCCTTTTAATATATCTCAAATCACCTTTTAGATCTTGATCTTTTATGTACACTTTTGGAATTATCATTTTATTATTTATAGCTATTCTACTTTTTTTTTACTATAGCTAGTTTGCTTGGATGTTCTGAAGATAAATCTTGAACCTGTTCATTACTATTCATTACTTCACTATTGTAATGAACATGTACAATTTTGTAAAAATACTTGTTTGACTAGTTTTATTTATTAGGAATGTTTCTGACATCTGATAGTTGAGTACATTATTTTGATGATTTTTAATTGCAGATGTTCCTTTATTTTGGTGAGCACGGCCTAGCGACATGCTCTGCTGATCACCTTATTATTCTATGGAAAGATGGAGAACGAGAGTCAAGATTGCGCAGCTTAATATTATTTCACAAGTTGGAACAAATTGAAGATTTGCACTTAAGGCCTGAGATGAAGTAATGTACAAAATACAAATAGGCTGTTTATATTACATATTTAAAATAACTATGGGTAATAATTTTGTGTTTGTTTTAAAATGTATATTTAAGGGGTGTTTTTTCTTACCGAATTTGCCATAAATTTAGATGAATTGCTGACCCAGCACTGTTAGTTTCTACACAGAAACTGAATGTTGCTACACAGACAGTTCTGTTTAGCCCACAATGCCTTAATCAGGGACATTGCCAAATTTTGGATTTTTCACCAGATAAATTTCTCTAAGGACAGGTGAAACAAATGCAAATCTATAGTGTGAGTTCAGTCACTAGTTGTTTAGAACTGCATGGCTGCCCTTTGCCAGATCCCAGGAAAAGCAAAATTTCATTTAAGGAATGGTAGGCAGCTGGTGTATGAGTATCTTACATGTCCCAAAGCACCTTTTTGACTGAATCCAGATTGCTGTACAGCCCTATTAAACACTAGATATTAGAATGGCATATTTTCTTGCCAAGAAATAGCATTTGATGATAAATAATAGAAGCAATCCATTGTTGTTTCATTTTGAAGATTTTGCTTTGCTCTACTTTAACATAATGAATGTTAGCATAATGAATACACTTATGGTTTTATGCCAAATGTTGAGATTCTGGCCGGATAAGCCTTCAGTGAATTTCTGCGAAACCGTCAGGGGTTAAATTGAATGTTGAGGCAGACTTCTATAGAGAATTAACCAGAGGTTTAGAAATAAGTTGCAGATTTGTACAAAATAAACCTTTTAGGCAAAGAATTTCACTGAATGATTTGCCAGCTCAAATATTTTGATAAAATAGTATAGTCTATATTTGTTCTTCAAAGTCTACAATATGTAGGACAGCTTGTGAGCAAAAAAGTTAAGGTGCAAATCAGTAGAAGTATGCTGAAACATGCAGGTTCAAAGCCAGCTCTGATGAGGAATTCTTTGCTAACAAAGAACTGCAAGTAAACATAGAAGTGGAGGATTCTTGTAAGTCGAGGCTTTTGTTATATGTGGCATATTGACAGTATTGTAGTCTTCATTATTATTTTGTGATTGATAAACTGAATAGTGTACATGAGGAAAAATAAAATTTGGGCATGTATATAAAGATTTGAATTCAATTTTTATTTCACAAGTGAGAGCGGCTCTTGAGCATGGTTAATACAGAAAGCAAAATGTGATTTTCTATTTCCACCCCCACCCCCCTTGACCCCAGGACAAAAAGAGCCTCTATTACTTCCAACACATTTCACTGTTTTGGACAATATCCCCTGCCAATTTTTTTCTGAAGCAATTGGAAAAGGGAAGGTTCTTCTCCTGGATCCAATCCATTCCAAATAACATGGCAACTAAGGCAATATGAATAAAAGTTAATTAAAATTTAGTCAGATACAGGCTTTGATAAGAAATAGGTAATAGCAATGAAGAATTCTGCAGGAAACACAAAATGTTTAAACACAATGTAGCACTTTAATTCATAGCAACCAAAGTTAAATCCTATTACATTTTTAACAAAAATATAGCTTTTGTACATTTCTCAGCATGGGAATTATGAGAGTATAATACAATTTTACATAACTTGATACAAAACATTGAAAAATGTTGGCACATTCTTTAAGTTACAATCATTGTCATTTTTCAGTTCACCTGTTTTATTTTCTCTGACTGTACAGAAAAGAATCAGAGTCCTTTTTGATGGGCAGTATACTACTCTACATTAAATGTCAATTTTTCAAGAGCTTCTTATAAAGCACAATATAAATTATTAATTAAGTAGAATAATGTTTGAGTAATGGCGAAGTAAGTGAAGATTGTCTTAAGCTCATGAGCTTATTTAAAGAATGCATCTATTTTAAAGAAAACTAGAAGACAGGCTACTAAAAAAAACCCTCACTTTGTTAGGAATAGCTCCTATGTGACCTCAATTTAAAATGATGGCAGTTGTGTAAAAGCACAGTTTTCATTCATTGTCCAGTGCAAGCCCCATCACAGTTTTCCACTATGTTTAAAGTAAATGTAAAAATATTTGTGCTTTGGCATCTAATGTAAAAACTTCATACTTGAATGAGAAAGTTACATTCAGTACATGAACCACATCATTAGGGCTATATTATTTTAGTTTTTGAAGTACATGTTTTTAATATTAGTAGAAGTTTCAGCATTCAGCATGTAAGTGGCTTATGTTCTTAACACTAAGGTCTTTAGATTAATTGCTATGGCTGCAATCCAGGACATCAAGGCACTGGGGTTTCCTATCCCTCATAGAGGGATGAACATCCATTTCCCTTCTCTAAGAAAGAGGGTTGGAAGCCTTAGTATGGGTGTCAGTTCTGGAGATTTTCTATCAGTATGGCTCATATATTACATAATATATAAGCAGGATTTATTTTATTTACGGCTCATGCATATAAAGCATCTGTCATTTTCTGCTCATAGGATCTGTCCCAGCAATTCCTCTCCTAAGCATGTAGATGTAATCTGGAACTGTACAACATCATAGAGCATGGCATACTGTGGCAGATGCAACAAAATGCTTTAAAACGGAGTGCTAGTTATTCATTTTACTACTTGTCTAGACTTTCATATATGGCTGATGTTACCTATTAAAAGGCAGAGAAAAGTATGGGTTTGTCTAATTTGTGAATTTATATCAACTACAATTTTCTAAAAGATTAGTTAACAAGCAAAACACATACAAGGATTTCTTATGTGTAAAAATCACAGTGTGCAGCAAGTCCTCACTGTAACAAAGGGCCAGTGAGGGAGCTATCTCTGGGCATACAAACTTGCCCCTGATAATGAAATCTGCTGGGAAGCCTGCATAGGGAGGAGGGCTCCACGCATAGACAGGCTTGAATCACAGAAATCATAAATGTATAAATGAGAATAAAGTCTGACAAAGTCAGAAATTACCTTAAGAAATTCTCATTCAGTGGGGTCAACACAAATGCTTTTTTGCTCTACTGCTTGGAAGAAAGCAAGCAAATGGGTCCTTATAAGACTGATTGGCTATCTGAAGACCTCTGGCTCCTATGGCTGTGGCAGGAGGAAACCCAGAGATACAATGGGAAATGAGATATATATATCCATGTTTGAGATATTAGGGTCTCAATGGGTGAATTCAAATCGGTTGTTCTCAGGGTCAAAAAAGTGACCAGTGTATCATGTAGTACATACTTGCTATGAACAAGGCTTTTGTAAAATAAACGTTAAATTAAATATTGTTCATAATTTTTTTCAAAGAAGCTACCTTTTCTTGCTTTATATTTTATGTATATAATTGATTTTGGCTAATAAATTAAATATCATTTGGCAAATTACAACCATTTTATAAAACTACCCTTAAAAGGATCTATTATTCCACAAAAAACAGGATAGCATTTATAAACCATTTCTTGTCTCTAAATTATGTCCTTTATTTTTTTTAAAAAAGCTCATACTTTTATAGAATTTTTAACTATTTAAAATTGAGAAACAATATTTTTCTCCACATTTCCCAGTTGGTTACTTCATTGTGAAGGAAATTCAACCCTTCTTGGGTCCATACCAGTATATGGTTCACAGTGTACGTGGTAGGCTATGATCGTTCTTTTTTTCTCTTCAGCTTCCAAGATTATTTTCTGAAGGGAGACGAAGACTCCTACACTTTGATTCATCTAATTTTTTCCAATGTTTGTAGTTATTTGCTAGGTGTTGCATCAGACCAGGTAGATATGCAAATGCTGAGAGATACAGAGGGATGGGGTGAGGGAAGCAACGTCATACTTGCTTTAAAAGCATGAACAATTTCTGCAGTCTTTCAGCCTTTGTATATTTAGGATCAACTGTTAGCATTATACAAAGGATCATTTTATATGCCTAGCAGTAGCAAAGCCAAGTAACTTAGCCCTTCCTCTTTAAAGTTTTTCCTCCCCCCCCCCAAGTACAGCTTATAATAGAATGTGGGATATCATTTCCAGTTTAGAACTTAATAACTTTTTTGCACAAGTTCATTAACAAATTTATTCCATCATGCATCTGACTTAAATTCATTTTTGAAAGTACATGAAAATTTATATTTAAACATTGGTGAAATTTTGAGAATTCTGATTTATATAATTACATTCCAATTCATTTATGGGAGATGCAAATCCAATGAGTTAATTTCAGGCTCTTCCAGCAATGAACTCTTGCTGTAAATCACAGTTTTTAACATTGTCCTTAACAATTATCAGCCTTCTGTGGCCACTGAGCATGGCCAATCCTCATCGAACTGGTTTTCATCTAGCACCCAAGTTATTTGGGAAACCATGCAATTTTTCCTATTGATATTTTATATTTTCATTTTGCCTTTACAATAAATCAGTGCTTCTGCCAGATTTAAAAACAAACAGCTGTACAATTAGAGTTGTAGAATTGTTAAATCCCATACAGCTGTCACAAATATAATCTCTCTCCAGGCTAGCCTTTTAAAAACAGTGTTAAAATAACTTTAACTAGCATGAAACTCATAAGGGTTTTTTTTTTCAGAAGGCCATATAATCAATGGGAAGAGTTCCCTCCTCTCCCCATATTCTCTTGCCAGAACAACTGTCTGGGTAGGAAGCAATCTTCAGGCTCTAAATAATGGAAAGGGCATGGATGTCCTTTAACGCATAAAACTTGTTGGACCCCTTGGCAAAACAATAAAAATGCACTGCTCAAAAGGGAAAATGAAAAATGAAAATTCTTACCATCCCAAGCATCAAACATGTCCATTATAAAGTAATCAATGAAGGATATCTGAGACTTAGGGATGCTGCAGGTATTTCGATCAAATACTGGCATCACAACCGGTAGGCCCTGCTTCTTTTCTTCATCGGTCTGTGGAGAGAATTTTTAGACTTTACAACAAGGATGGAAAATTACAAAAGTAGATCAATGATCCGTTTTATAATTAATTATTGGGCTCAAACAAATCTAGCAAAGAAAATTTATATAACTCAATGAACACAACTGAGTTTGTTGGCAACTGAAAATGTAATCCTGAATGAAACTAGATCTACTGCCCTGCTTTTTATAAGGGCAAATAATGTGGGATTGTTAAATCATTGTCTGCTTTAGCCAAACTGTATCCTAAGATAAACAGACATGTAACAAACAGATCATGTACATGAAAAGTAGCATTTTGCTTCTTATTTAGGATTCTTTTGCTGCTGCTTTTCTCACACACAATTCATATCACAAGATTAAGATCAGAATTTGTTTTGTCAGCTTTTAACATGGCATTGCTCTGCCATTAGAGATGGCATTGCTCTGCCATTAGAGATGGCATTTTTCTGCCATTAGAGTCTATCTCTTACAAGATGATTAAGAAGCAGATTGTCCATTTTAGCATGATGTTAATCACCCAAAGTCAAATATGCAAGCAGGGCACCATACAAATGCAATTAAATTAAAAACTATTGGGGAAAGGGAAATAGTTGTTCAGTAAAGCGAATAAAATTATTACATTAAAATTTTCATGTTAATTTGATTACTACAGAAGCATTAGATTTTAGAATGATAAAAACTAAAATGTTTCTTTGATTTTTCTAACAATAGTAAATTCATACCTGGACAAAATATTCTTCAGAAATTCTCCTAGCCCATTCAATACACAATTCTAGGGGACGACATGGATTTGCAACATCTGCACATTTTATCATCATGCGCTTGATCAATGTTTGGTTATCTGGAAAGTTCTTGAGACTGTTTGTGTGTTCACAATCTCCACTGTCATTCTGGAAAATGGTTATTCATAGTGTCAGTTGGCATTGCTGCTCATAGTCACTATATAATGTTAACATAATACTCTGTAAATATGTACTTTAAGGAAAAGTACATAGTCGCTTGGTGG